GAAAGAAGGCCTTTAAGGATGAAGATTCACCTCTGATGATGAATATAAGAGTTTGAATGACAATATTTATACATGGATAAACAGGGAGGCAGCAGGAAAATTGTTGCATGTAAGGGATTGCAATCAATGAGATGAAACAAAATATATAATTTGTTGATCTTGTCTGCAAACCTTCACTCAATTCATAATTTAAAAAAGAACTTAGGGGTTAATGGTAGAGGAGAATGAAAGAAGTGAATTAAAACATTCAGGGCCCAAGCAACAAGAACAGAATTGAAGCTCTGCTGTGTCCTCTCCAAGTTTCACATAGATTGGCTGAGTCACCAAAATAAGTTTATACCCTTTAATTCTTAAAAAGTTTTTTTATTGTGGTACAGTACCAACCACAAATGCCAAAGATAAAGAAACTGAAGATGTTTATTAAGTTTTGTGGTCTGAAATTGATAAAACATGCAATCAAGATACATTCATAATTACTCGTGATTGGTATTCCAACATTGGGAACAAAGAAGGATTAGTAGTTGGAAAACATAGTCTTGGTAACAAAACAACTAGGGATATTGTATAACAGAATTTTACAAGGCCAACAACTTATTTTTTGTAAATATCTTTTTTCAACAACATACACGGCTGACTATACACATAGATCCCACTGGACAGAGTATGGCAGCGGTGGTGGTTATGTGATGTGGAATCCGTTCTGACTCATAGCAACCCTGTATAGTGATCTGGGGCTGTAAATCTTTACGAGAGCAGAAAGCCTCATCTTTTTCCCACAGAATCGCTGGTAGTTTCAAACTGCTGACCTATCGGTGAGCAGCTCAGCTCATAATCCACTATGCCGCCAGGACAGAGTATACAGGAAGTGAATTGACTACATGTGTGGAAAGAGACGATGGAGCAGTTCAATATCAATCAAAAAAAGCCTAGGAGCTGACCATGGAATAAACCATCAATTACTCATATCAAGTTCAAGTTGAAGCTGAAGAAAATGCCAACAAGTCTATGAGAACCAAAGTATGACCCTAAGTATATTCCACCTGAATTTAGAGATCATCTCAAGAACAGACTTGACGCACTGGATACTAATGACCGGTGATCAGTTGAGATGTTGGATAACATTAAGGACATCAAATATGAAGAAAACAAAAGGTCATTACAAAATACAAGAAAGGAAAAAAATACCAAAATGGATGCCAGAAGAAGCTCTGAAACTTATGACTAAATGCACAGTAGTTAAAACAAAAGGGAAGAAATGATTAAGTAAAAGAGATTTCGAAAGCTGGCTTGAGAAGACAAAGTGAAGTATTATAATGAAATGTGCTAAGAATTAGAGTTTGAAAACCAAAAGTGTTCAGCTTGGCAATTCTCAAGCTATAAGAACTAAAGAAAAAATTCAAGGCTTGAATTGCAACTGATGGATTCTATGGAGTCCTGGTGTAGCACTGTGGGATAAGGACTAGATCACAAGGTCGGTTTGAGTCACAAGGTTGGCAATTCAAACTCACCAACCACTCCTTGGAAACCCTAAGCAGGGTTGCTATGACCAATTCAATGGCATTTAACAACAACAACAACAACAACGGCAAAACACTGTATGATACAGGAAGCATCAAAAGAAGAAGAAAGGAATACATAGTCACTGAACTGAAAAGAAATGATCAAAGGTCAACCATTTTGGGAGATATCATATGATCAAGAACCAAGATGCACTGAAGGCATTGGTGAAAAACAAGACTCAATTGATGGAATACTACCTAAGATATTTCAACAAATGAATACATTTCTGGAAGCCCTCACTTATTTTTGCGAAGAACTTTGGAAGGCAGCTTTACTTGGCCAACTGACTGGAGGAGATCCATGTTTGTATCCATTCCAAAGAAAGGTGACCCTCCAGAAAGCAGAAATTATCAAACAATATCACTAACATAATACATATGAAAAATTTTGCTGATGATAATTTTTAAATGGCTGCAACAGAGGCTGTGGAGAGACTGCGACCTTCTAAAATTGCTGGTGGGACTATAAAATGGTGCAACCATGATGGAAAACAGTATGGCACTTCTTTAAAAAGTTAGAAATAGAAATACCATATGATTTAGCAATCCCTCTACTTGGTTTATATCCACAAGAAATAAGAACCATGGCACGAGTAGATCTATGCACATCAACATTCACCACAGCACTATTCACAATAGCAAAAAAGATAGAGGCAGGCTAAATGTCCATCAGTGGAAGAATGGATAAACAAACTTTAGTATATACACACAATAGAATACTATGCAACGTTGAAAAATAACAACGAATCTGAAAAACATGACATAAGTGAACCTGAAGGATGTTATTGCTGTGAAGTGCCATTGAGTCAGTTCCAACTCATAGTAACACTGTACAGGGTTTCCAAGGAGAGGCTGGTGGGTTTGAATCATCAACCTGGTAGTTAGCAGTCCAGTGCTTATCCTATGGTGCCACACCAGGACACCCTGGAGGATATTATGTTGAGTGACCTCAGTCAATCACAAATGGACAAATATTATGAGACCACTATTGTAAAAACTCAAGTAAAGGCTTTCATGCTCAAAGAAATATTCTTTGATAGTTACCAGGGATGGGAGGGAAGGGAGAGTAATCCACTGGCTAGAGGGTAGACACATATTCACTTAGGTTACCGGAAAGGCAATACACAAGAAGAGGGAAGTTGGCAGAAGACTGACGGAGATAGGTGAAGACACAGGGAAATAGGCAAGGGTTAAAGGGGATAGGGTGAGTAGTGTTAGATACACACCCCTGCAACAACATTGTTCTGTGGCTAGATACATGGACAGATACAAATCAGTAGTTGTATCTTTTCACTATATTTATTCACAGGTTAAATGGGTATGGAGAGATCATGGCAGTATATCCACAAATATACTTTTAAAAAAGGATATTTGTACATGGGTATTTACCTTGGGTGCAAACACATCTATGAACATGGTGGAGCAAAATGATGAAAACTTCTTAGATTACTAAACATCTTAAGGCAATGAGTTGCTGGATTTGGGGACTCAGGACCACAGTCTCAGAGGACACCATGGTCAACTGACATAACATTGTTCAGAAAAACAATGTTTTATATCCTACTTTGGAGAGTTGTGACTGGGATTTTAGAATTTCATGAGCAGCCATCTAAGGTACAACTATTGGTCTCTCCATGTGCACAAGAAAGAAGAGTGATGGAAATTGAAGATACTTGGAAACAACTTGTCCAATGGACCAATGGAGCCTGTGAACATCAACCACCATGACTCTGAGACCAGAAGAACTAGATGGTGCCCGGCTACCACTACCAACTGCTCTGAAAGGGATCCCATGAGAAGGTCCTGGATAGAGTGGGAGAAAGTGTGGAACAAAACTTAAAAAAATAAAATAAAATAAAAGTCTGGGCTTACTGGTCAGAAAGAGATTGGAGGATTATGGGATTATGGCCCTCAACCACTTTTTAGGTTTGGAATAGAACTTACCCTCATGGCCCAATTGTCAGCCAAGCAGTCGATAGGCAAATAGGGGGAACAACAACACTAGTAAGGTATGTTCACCATGAAATGGTCACTCATTCAAGATCAAAAAGGCAACATGTACCTAAGACCGAAGGGTTGGGAAGGAGGGTGGAATGGAAACAAGAACCACCGGGTGGAAATGGGTTAACTGTTGTTACATGGAAGGGATTGTAATCACTGAGATCAAAGTGTAAGATTTGTTGAATGTAAAACTGAGGATCTGCTCTGTAAACTTTCATTTAAGTCACAATAAAAAGTTTAAAAAAAACAACAACAAAACACTGCAACAGTACATCAACAGGTACAGGCAGGAATTTAAGCCAGATTCAGAAGAGGGTGTAGAATGATGGATATCATCCCTGGTGTCAGATGGATCTTGGCTAAAAGATTAGAATATCAGAAAGATATTAACTTGTGCTTTATTGACTATGCAAAGACATGAGACTGTGTGAATTATAAAACATTATTGACAACATTGTGAATACTGGGAATCCCAGAACATTGAATTGTGCTTATCTGGAGCCAGTGCATACTTCCAGACCAAGAAGCCGTTGTTCAAACAGAACAAAGGGATGGATACTACGTGGTTTAAAATCAGTAGCTATATCTTTTCACCGTATTTATTCCATCTGTATGCTGAGCAAATAATCTGAGAAACTGGACTATATGAAGTAGAACACAGCCTCATGATTGGACAAAGACTCATTAACAACTGGTATAACTTTGCTTGCACATGAAAGCTAGTCAGTTGACAAAGAAAACCAGATGAATGGATGCTTTTGGATTACAGTGTTAGTGAAGATTATGGAATATATTATTGACTTTCAAAAGAAAGCACCAATCTGTCTTGGAAGAAGTACAACCCGAACACCCTTTAGAAGCAAGAATGGTGAGTATTTGGGATCTGTTATCAGGAGGGACCAGTCATTGGAGAAAGACAGCACTCGTGATAAAATAGAAGGTACGCAAAAAAGAGGAAGATCCTCAACAAGATAGCTTGCCCCAGTGGCTACAACGATGGGTTCAAACACAACAAGGACTGGGCAGTGTTTGGTTCTGTCGGATGAGTTGCTATGAAGTCAGAATCAACTTGATACCACCTTGACATCAACTTGACACATGCAGGTAATAGAATAGTTACGATTTCAACAATCATCACACGTACAGTTCAATGACATTAATTAGAGTCATTATATTGTTCAACCATCTCTACTGACACCCCCCTTTTCTTAATTCAGATAAACCAGTACTTTTGGTTATACTTTGGTTTGGCTTTTTGGTAACAGTTTGAACAATTTTTGAAATACGAGTTCTTTTTTTCCTGGGACTCTATTTCTTTTTAACAACTTGGTGCCTATTTCCCCATCTTTATCTATAAAGTTGATTAACATTCCAGAATTTAAAAATATGTTATTTTAAATGACTGAGGATGAAATATACAGAGATTAATGGTCGTTTTACCTCCAGCTTTTCATTATAAAACTCTCTTGTGGTATAATTCAAGGTAGCACGATTTGTGTTTTCTCCTGTGAGTCTTCTACTATCATTATTTTCTTCACTGATAATGCCTGGTTTTTTCCCTTTGGTTTCTAGAAGATACCGAAATTGCTTCTTCCTACAGAAAGACAGTAAAAAGATTTAGTTACTTATCAAACCTATTAAAATATCAACTTTTGTTTACTTTAGAGGGAGGTGTATGTTTTTATGAACAGCTATTTTATGAGGTTGAGTTTATTATTTATTTGAACTCAGTTCAATACCACAATCTTTCTACTAATGAGGCCACTCAATCCAACTCTTTTGTTTCACAACTTCCAGTCATCAACATAAATATGTTTCAAGCATTTCTAAAGTGGGATAAGTCTATGCATATAAAAAATTAATAACCAGAGATCACAAAACAACTCAATGAAAGATGTAATATTTATTTCTTATGAACCATATGTTAGTTACCTCTTATTTACACAAATAGCTTTTAATAGCATTATATAGCTCTGTAGTACTACACCCAATTAGATTATGGAGTGGGATACTGGTTTAGGTTTGGCAAAAGCAAAACAAACCCTAAACAAAAAACTTTTGTTAGCACATCAAAACAAGATCCTTGCGAGGAGCTAAGTAATAAAACCTCACTGGATTATGCAGAAGTACAAAGGCAATGCTTATAGTATTACAGGCCCATAAACCCAGAATTCTCTATGAAGATCGCCTTCTGGTTTGTCCCTACAGGAAGCGATACCACTACTTCATTGTGAACTGAGATAAGGGACAGAAAAATAATAGTTCTTTTAACAGATTTCTTCCTTTTTTCTGGTTTATAAATATAGCACAATCATTTTAGAACTTTTGGAGAGTGAATTTTGAAAAATATAAAAAAACAGATAAAACAACCTATAAATATATAATCCATTTGTTGTTGTTGTTAAGTGCTGTCAAGTTGATTCCAACTCACAGCGACCCTCTATAGGGTTTCTGAGGAGCGGCTGGTGAGATTGAACTGCCGATCTTGCATTTCAAATCGATCTTGTGGTCCAGCTTGTTAATTCACAGTGCCACACCAGGACCCCTATAACCCATAAATCTATAAAAATCAACTTCGTACACATTCAGCATATTTCTTTCTAGGCTTTTTCTGTGCATTTTTATAAAAATTAAGATCATATGAAACATCCAATTTTGTATAATGCTTGCACTTACTAACATATATTAAGACTTTTCTGTTATCAAAATTAATAATTTTAATATATAAGTGAAATTTAATTGTGTTACAGATCACAGTTTACCTAATCAATTCATTTTACTGGATATTTTGTTGTTGTGAAGTGCTATCAAGTCGGTTCAACTCATAGCGACCCTGTATAGGGTTTCTCAGGAGTGTCTGGGAGGTCTGAAATAATCTTCTGATCGACAGTCCAGTGCTTATCCTATAATGCCATGACAAGATTTAGGTAGTACAATTTTCTCATTTTTGTAAAAAATAAAAAGTGAGTAACATATAGATCTTTTCTTACATTTATGTTCTTTATTGACTTTTTTGAAATTATAAAACAATGTATATATATATATACATTTTTACCAATTTCAGTAACATTTCAAATAGTCAACTTCTCATTGATTTTAGCGTTTTTGTTTCTTTCCTTCTGCTTTCTTCTGGATTATTTTAATTTTCTTTTTCTAACTTCTTGAGATCAATGTTTACTTCTTTTATTTCCAGTTCGTTCTTTTCCAATACAGCTGTCCCCTGCTTTTCAAGTTTGCTTTACGCTACTTTGCTTTTACGAAAGACCTACATTAGAATCTTTTTTTGCTAAATGAAAGAAATCCAAAGAGGTTTTTGCTTTTATGAAAAGGGTAAAAAGCAAAGCTTGTGTTCAACATCTGTTTTGCAGTGAGCTGTTAAAAAGGCATCCAGAACCCCTAGTAGGGAGAGTGGTGTCCCTACCCTTCTTCTAGGGTCACTACACTGTACATTCATTATTGTTGTTGTTAAGTGTCTGCCATTGAGTCTGTTCCACTCATAGTGACCCCATATAGGGTTTCCGAGGAGCAGCAGGTGAGTTTGAACCACTGACCTTGAGATTCAAACTGACCTTGCGGTCCAGTGCTTCTCCTACAATGCTACACCAGGACATTATTTCTTCTTTATAGGCTGTGTATTTATCATATATTTTCTAGTTTTACTGTATGTTAGTGGTATTTTAGGTTTTCTGTGTTATTTGGTATGATGTGGTAGTTTATATTTTGGGGTCTGGGAACACTCAAAATTTTCCCATATAAATTAAGAATTGCTTTTTGCTTCACATCCTTCTGGCTTATGAAAGGTTTTATAGGAGTGGTCTTCTCAGATAATGGGGGAAACTTGTATAACCACTTCAAGGTTAAAATCTTTCCACTATGAATTAATCCCACCCGTTTTTGATTTCTTTTACTTATGGTAAAAACACACATAACAAAATACATGCCAATCCAACAATTTTTACGTGTACAAAGTCAGTGATATTGATTATGTTCATCCTGTGACCCCACAAATAAAATGCTTACGCATTGTATTGCAGTTCAAGGTAATTCAAATTTATGGTATGAAATTTTCTTTAATCTGTGAGTTACTTAAAATGACTTTCCTTATTTTAAAATACAAGTGTATTTCTCAGTTACCCTTCTGTAATTGAGTTAAATTGCAATTGCAATGTGGAAAGGAACAGAGCCCACATGATTTCCAGCCTTTGGAATCTGTTGACATCTGTGGGAGGTGGTTGATGGCACTGATGGTCCTAATTAATGGCTTTCCTGAATCTTTGCCCTTTGCTATGTGGTTGTGCAGCTAAGTAAAGTCTACTTCCCTGTCTTTTGAATCATGCCCTTTTGTGGCCAACGGAATGTAGGTGCAGTGATGGTGTGTGCCTTCTTAGTCTAGGCCTCAACAGGCTTTTTATGTTTCTTTGAACCCTGCCTCTGCCATGAGAATAAGCCCAGGCCTCCAGCTATGAGGAGTGTGAGAGACCACAGGGAGTAGGGATTAGTAGTTCCAGCTCAGGTCTTTCTAGACCCATCAACCAAAAAACAAGCGAGAGCACAGACTGCCCACCCAATCCACAGGTCTGCTGAAGCCTAAGGACCCAGCGGATGGTGGCGAACCATCCAGCTGACCTGTGGACTCACAGGAAAAAGAGAAATGCTTCTTGATTTAAGCCCTAAGTTTTGGGTTGGTTTGTTATATCAATAGCTAAATGATATACATATAATTGTTGATATAGCAATATTTAGGTTTAAATGGGTCATTTTCTTTGCTTTCTACTTGATTCAAATGTTCTATGTTTGTTTTCCTCCCTGTCTTCTTTTCCCTCGACTCCTAGTTTGGAAGTTATGTCCTCTTTTGTCCTTTGCCTATCACAGATGTACTCTTAACTCACTAACACCTAAACTTCATATAAACTTATCTCCATTCTAGACAAGAACACAGAACACATTCTTTCCATATACACTGTAGGACAAGGATTGGACCACAAGGTCATTTGAATTGCAAGGCAGGTGGTTCAAACTCACCAGCCAATAAAGTATCGCTATGAGTCAGAGCTGACACCACAGCACTTAACAAACAACAACAACAAATATACACAAATGCATACATGCATGCACACAGATATACATGCACGAGCGTATACATACGTACGTGTATATGTATACATACATACACACGTATCACTTGTTTTGCACTGTTGTTGAGTCATTTTATATAATGGAACACACTTTTGCTGGTCTGCTGCCATCTTCATGACATGTGATGTGTGCACCATTGTTGCAGCTATTGTGTACTTGTAATTTATTTTTTAAAAAACTCAAGAAACATTATTATGATGCATTAAACGATCAATATTAATTTCGTTTTATCACACATACTGACACTTCCTTGTTTTTTAGTTCTTCTTGCATCTCATATGTTTCATCTGATTTCAGATGTGAGATCATTTTCATTCTGCCTTAAATATGAATTTCACAGTTTCTTTTAGTGCAGGAATACGAATGGGACCTCTCATGTTTTGTTTTGAGTATTTTGTTTAAAAATGTCTTGATTTCCCCTTCATTTATAAAATATCTTTTTTCTGCAGAAGAATTCCAAGTTGGCAGTTAATTTCCTTCAGCACACTGACCATATATTCCATTACATTGTCTTCTAGCTTTCCACTATTGTCATCGAATCACCTGTTGACCCTCACATCTTTAAAGAGAATCTCTTTTCCTGTTTAAAGAATTTTCACTTTACATATGGTGTGTTATAGTTTTACTTTGATGGATTTATTTTTATTTTACATGGGCTTAATAAGAGGTAATCAGTATTGCACTGGGTAAATCTGCTGCAAAATACCTCTTTACAGTGTTTAAGAACAATGGCGTCACTTTGAGGCGGAAGGTATTTCAATCACACCAGGGCTCCTGGTGCGGCACTGCTGAATTAGCTATGGACCAATCCTTCTTGGACGTCCTGGTGTGGCACTGTGGGATAAAGCACTGGATTACAAGGTTGGTTCAAACCCTAAGGTCAGTGGTTGAGACTCACCAGCTGCCCTTTGGAAAGCCTACACAGAGTTCTATGAATCAGAACGGACTCAAGGGCACTTAACAAATGATCTTTCTTCTTTGTTTCCAACTTTTGAATTTCAAGTGCCCCTATTTATCAATGCATCTTGATTGCATGTGAACCACAAGGTCAGCAATTCAAACCCACCAGCTGCTCCTAGCAAACACTAAAAAGGGGTCACTAGGAGTTGGAACCAACTGTTGTTGTTAAGGGCCGTCCAGTTGGTTTTTCACCAATGTCTTCAGTATAACTCAGACTTCTTCCTTCAAGACCATTGGTTGCTTATCAGATGCTACCTCTTGAAATGGCTGACCACTGACCAATTCTTTTTAGTACAGTGACTCTGTGTATTCCTTCTATTATTTCTTGGTGCTTCCTGCATAATTTAGTTAGTATTGCAACCAGAGGCTTGAATTTCCTCTTCGGTTCTTTTAACTTGAGAAATGCTGTCCCTTTTTAACCCTAAATCTTTGCACATTTCATTATAATTCTTTAATCTGTCTTCCTGAGCCCCGCTTTGAAAACTTCTATTCAGCTCT